AGAGAGAGAGAGAGAGAGATGCCGAGATGGATTGATAGACAAATGCAGAGAGGGCGGAACTTGGAATTACAGTACAGCGCTTATTCCTCACGTATTTTGCCATCTTGTGATGATGATGATGATCGCAGGTGCTGGACATGGGTAAATCGAGGTAAGCGGAGCCCTTTATACAACTTCTCAACATTAGTGTGATAGATCGACATCAAATAATGATCCACAAATAGACTCATGACACGCTCTGGGTCACCTATTGCTATTCGGAACGCGCAGGGAGCGAGCACTCGCATCCCGTCTGTTTCTGCCCACCTTTCACCAACAACAACTTACCGATTTCTGACGAGCAAGTCCGCGTCTCCGGGTGTCGGAACCGCAGCGGTTTGCATAGAAACGGCCTCTCTGAAATTAGGACTAAGCTTGTTTACGACCAGCTTTTTCATGCTGCTCGGTATGGAGGATCCTTTAAAATCCATGAAGTGCGCTGAGTAGGACATATCTATGATGAAGCGCCGCGCAGTCGGGTGAACTCCTGAAAGTGCGTCGGTGCCTCTGCGCCCCCCGCCGATTACCGATATCGCTCTCTTGCAGTTTCTCACCAACAGCGGGCTCAACATGGCTCCGAAATGTGACAAAGTTCACGGACAACTTGACGTACGTTTGTGCCAGTAACAAGCCCGACTGCCTTCAGCCTGCGCTATAGGCTTCTCCCACCCTTTGCACATGCACACAGCGTGCAGGCCGGGCCGGGCACAGGCGTGCTAAACGCGCTGTTAAACAAAAATCAAAACCGCGATTCTTTGAAGCGGGACTCTCGGTTACTTAAGTAGAAATAAACAAGAAGCACCGAATCCTGTATTTAGGCTTAAAAACGTTGCACTGGTGCAGCCTTGTAAGTAGCACAGCAGCGCCCCAGACTTGTCGTCGGAGTCCCTCCCCTTCCCGGACACAGCGCTCACTTCCTAGTAAGGTGAAACAAATCAATCCTCATCTCCCAACATATCCTCAACCGTTTTCCTCCCACGAAAACAACACCAGCCCCGACCTATTTCCTCCAAATATCTTGAAAATACTAAACACAATCATGGAGCGTGTTGCGCAAATGCGCTCCCGTTTAATTCGCGTTTTTATTGTGGAGGGATCCGTAGCCGAAACATATGTTTGTGGCCACATGTTACACCTGTAACCGAAGCCTGCATCAGCGATTTGTGAAAGTGTGTGCACTGAGCATTGCGCTCTTGCACGTTTCGTGTAGCAGTTACCATCTATTGTCACCTGACTGTCATTTTCTGGAAGCATCGGTGCTATTCACAATAATCATGTAACACTGTTATAACATATTGGACCGCTGAACCCTCGTCCCACCCCCCGTGGGAGTCGAACCTCTAACTCGTGCTGTGTCTGTGCCACGCTTTTATACGCTAAACGTGACATTTAAGTTGTAACAAGCTCATTGTTGAGTAGTACTTGTTGTGGTTTGCGATGCCTGTTCACATTAAGTTTGGCTTTAGTTGATCTCCCGTTAAGTTCCGAAAGGATCCTTTCCTTTGTCGGTGGTTTGGGTTTTTTTTTTTTTGTTGGAGCAAAGGGAGAAGGAGAGAGAGAGGGGGGAAAACAAGACAATTAAAAAGATTGACAGGTAGGCTCCTCTGTCAGGGGTGACGCTTGTGGAGAGGGGAGGAGTAAAAATGTAGCAGGAAAAGCCACTCGATGCGTCTGTCTATCAGTTGAGACTGTCTGAAACAGCTTCTGGATCCACCGCGTTTCCATTTTTTTCTTTTTGGGAGACCTCGGATCAGTCCCTGGAGTTTACCTCCCTCTTTTTGCCTTTTTAAAGAGACAAATATTTGAGTCCATGTCGACCTGATCTGTTGTTGGCGAAGCTTGGATGCGCCTGCGTCTTGTTTGTTTCCCCTCTCTCTCAAGTGATATCCTCTCCACCGCATCAGCCACCCCTCCAAAAAAAACCCGACTCTGTCCATGATGCGATGAGATGAGCGGTGGAAATTATTTCCACGACTCTTAAAACGTAAGTAAGAGAGAAAGCCTGGTCGTCCCATTTATTTTTTTCAATGGGAGAGCAGGAGGGAAGGAGGGGAGGGAGGAAAAAGTCTCCGCCGGACTGGTGAGGCTGGATCCGGGCTGAGGTGGCGTGGTGGTGACGGGACTGACATTAACCCATCTAATGCCTGTCTGTCTATTTTCTCCTCTCCCCTTTCTCTGTTTCAGGTCTCTGGCAAAAGAAGAGAAGGAAACACAAGGATACATTACTTATCAGAGCTGTGCAGTGCGCTCACACGGGACTTATTTGTTTGGTTACCGCCAGAGTTTATTTATTTTTTAGTCTTGGTGTGCGTAAAAGGCGCAGCAAAGTACCGTCCCCCTCCAAACAGCACTGGAGATTAGGGGGATTTTTTTTCCAGGGGGAGTGAACTGAAAACTTGGGTTTCAAGGTGCTTTTCTTGCTGCTGCTTCTTTTTTTACCCTGCCATGAGAGACATGAAGGAAGATGATCGTTGATGGACATGAAGGTGTCAGGAGCTGGCCGAATCCCTTCGTAATTTCTGTGCTTATTGTCGAAGCCGATCCAGAAATAAAGTCCAAAAAAGAGCAGCCAGTTTGAAAAGAAGACATTTTCCGCTCCGAGATCAGAACCCCTTCCCCCGAAAAACGGGATGATTTTCCAAAACTGAGAGACTTGATTTGTTTGTAATTCCTGCATGAGAAGCACCGTGGAGAGTGACGGTCACTATGCCGAGGAGAAAGCAGCAAGAGCCGCGGCGATCAGCAGGTATAACCCGCCCCTCTATAACGTCCATTTCCCATCCCAGTAGCTAACTAGTTTTTATTTACAAGTACCAAATGAGAATATCTCCTTCCACATCACATTCTTTACTTGTGCTGCATGCTGAGATTTATTTTACAACTCTGTTTTAAATTACATTTGTTGTGTTGTTAACACAGCGCGCAGTTCAACCCCTGACCCACAGTTGTGTTTAATATGTGTCTAATTGCGCAAATGACGCACATGTCTGCGCAATGCCACTTTGAGATTTTTTTTTATCCTCCTTTGCCAGGAAAGTTCTCTTAAGAATGGTGAGATAAACTAAATGGCATGTTATGGGGGATAAAAGGGAGCTTTTGAGGTTCAAGAGTGAGTAATGATGAATAATTGACTGGGAAAGAAGGGGGAGAAAACTGGTGAGAGCCGGTTTTTCCTTTCTTTCTATTTTATTAGAGGATTGCCATCCTTGATTTGATGCGTGATTGATCGCCTGTCATGTGGCAGTCTTTGATCTATTCATCCCTGATAAACATCAATAAATCCTTCCATGAAGACAGGCATGCCTTTGGTATCTTTAGCCACTCACACACAACAACCTTCCTGTTGTCTCAACCAGGAACTGAAAAGCAAAAAAAAGTTAAGAATTATGGTGGAAAATCACCTAATTTTATTTTAAGGGTAGGCGCTAAAAGCAGATGAAAGGACGATGTGTATGTTGAATAGATCAGAGGGAAACTCAGCCCAAACACTCCTTTTTAATCAGGTGTTTGATTCCCCTCATATGCCTTTTCTTCACACAGATAAATGTTGAGTATTTTTTTTTTTTGCGCGTTCCCATCCAAATTCACCCCACATTCACAGTAAGAAGCAGTCCAGTAATGAAATCAATATCCACTGCTGGAGGGGAGTATTATATTTGCAATGTGACCAACTGATAAAACCAGGTCTTGGCAGAGGACCGACAAGGTTGACTTCTAGTGGTTTGGATTTGGACTCCCCCTTTTTTTCCTCTCGTCTCCCTGCAGCCTTTAAACAAATGTAAATGAGTGACAGGGGTTTCTACCTCTGTGCTAATGAGGCCGAGCCTTTGAAGTTAGGCATTAACAACTGGAGTGAACAAAAGACAGTTACAGAATTTTAAAGAGATTTTGAAATATGAGGTGCAAAGCGGGTCGAACAGGAGGGCCAGCCGACGAAGACTTTGAACTCAGCAGGTTTTATCATTTAAAGCGGGGAGCTGGTGGTGATGATGATGGTGGTGATGAGGATGAGGAGGAGGATGAGAAGGAGTGTAGGATGGAGAACATTCAACCGGTGCTTGCTGTCGACTTCTTTCCTTCTGCCTTGCCTTTCTGGCAGAGCAGTTTTACACGTGATTTCTGGCCCACACTACGAAAAAAGGATTCAGATTTAGATATTGAGCCTCACTTTTCTGAGTGTGTGTGTGTGTGTGTGAGAGAGAGAGAGAGAGAGAAAGAGAGAAAGAGAGTTTTGG